GCGTTGCGTCAGGATACCACGTAGAGCATCTCTGCACCTGAGAAGCATAATAGTTGATGTACTTTTAAGCAAAGTACAGATTTGTGGAAATGAAAAATTCACCTTGAAAAATGTGCAATACCTTGCACTTCGCTTCATATTCACAGCCATGTTTGTTTTGAAACACGACTATTCAAAATGCCATCTATGTAGGAAGAACTACCTGAACCTACTTCAAAATTTTGACCTTGGCAGTAATACTTGTAAAGTGAGAACTTATGTTACCCACCAAAGGAAAAATGGAACAAATATCTTCATTTAAAATGACAATATATCATGTAATTTTAGAGCACAGTCATGTTTATTTGCTCGAGCATACAGAGTCTAAATATATCTGAAACTGCTGTTACACCAAAAGGTGATTTCATGATAGTACGAGTAAATGGCTAATATCTTTTTCTCGGAGATAGTTCTGTATGACAGATTACTGATGAAAAAAATGAATCTGCGGTATGATAATTCTTTAGTTTAGGATATCTGTTTGCACATATTTTTTATTCATTAGGCTGTGATTAATTATACAGTATTTTTTATTTATTAAACGACGCTGTTTCAACAGCTTCGGTTTCTTATTGTCAATGAGGAAATACGGGGTGATTAGGAATAATAAATAGGCGAGGGTGTGAAAGGTGACGGTCGTGACATATTTATGGTTGTGTGACGTCATTTCTGTTGCTGGCTAAAAACATTACAGTAACATCATTCGTAGTAGCGAGACTCTTAGCCGAAAATCGAACCGAGGGCCTGTAATAAATCAGACTTCGAAGTACTATACACCAATATTCTGTTGTGAGGAATAAAGTTAACGCTTCTTGAACGCTCTCTGTAATACCAAACCTCTCTGATTCCGTATAACGCAAGAAATTAAAATAATTTTAGTACACAGTTCCCATAAACACGGACATTCATAGTTAGAAAATCAGCTTCCGAAATGACAGATGCCAGAAGCCTGACTACATTGTTCATTCTCTTTGTAGTTTGAAATTGGTTACAGTCCGGTAATATAAATGGCATTTATAAAAGAACTATGTCTTCTGGGACACAACATCATGTAGTCCGTTGAAAATTCTTTGCTTGCTACCAGCTTTATGCCAGTGTCTTGTTTGGATTATTTTTAGACCCTGAAGATGGAGGTGACATATTCTTCCGAAACCTAAGATTTTCAACGGGTTACTCGGCGTTATAACCCAAAATATAGAACTCTTCATAACCACCGCTGTGATAACCTCAGATCCGACATTTGTAAAAGATAGATTGCCAGAAATATCCTGCCGCGTGTCACTCCAGATTTTCCTTTTTTATTAATATCATACGTGTATGTGTGGGCAGATCTCCATTCACATGTGAGGGTGGATTTCCATTCGCATGCGACCCTTTAAAGGGTTGTTCAGCAATAATATATCTCTTTTGTGGAATATTTGGAATCAATGTGCCCTAGTTTCGTTTATTGCAGCCATCCGCTCTTTTTCACTGACGATTGAAATTGTTTGATCATTTATGTTTGATCAGTACATTAATTTGACCGGATTGTGGAGATTTAAAAAAGTCATATCCATAATTGGCTTATTCTTCAAGCCGGTAGGTCGCTTGTTCGATTAGGTCAGTGTTCCGCAACCGGTGTGCCGCGGCACACTGGTGTGCCGTCACAAGGTGAAAGGCGTGACGCGAACTTTTACCTATTGTAAGAAATTAACTGTCGAATTTAATTAGTTTTATTTTATGCCAGTTACCGTGTTTCATGTGCTTGTATTTCATTCTCAGCCACTGTACTGATTAAATAAGAGGATGCTTGTTTATTCTTTATTNCGCATCTACGCGGCTTCTTTGATAAACTTACCGCATGTTATGTATACGTGCTTTTCCCCAAAACTGCATGGATTAGCATGGGATTTCATGTCTTTTATAACGCTGTTTCGGTATTTGCCCCTGTTTGTTAGAAGTTAGAGCTTCTTCAACTTTATGACTTTCTTCCTGTAACGATGCATCCACCGATTGTTGGACTTCATTTAAAATTATAAATATTTCAAAAATAAGTCGGTATAGTGTCACTTCTTCCGTGTGAAGAGTAGAGATCCCGCGTTTTACAATTCTTTCAGTTCTATCACAGCTGTGCTCTCAAGCAGTTCACAAATTATGGTTGCTAGTTAGAGAATTTCTGATGGGTCGTTTGAGATGTCTCCGACTGTATGGCCACTTGTTGTCGGCAATAAAGTGGTGATGGACACAATTAAAGAACATTTAGAAATGCTGCAGCAGAAATTCAATGAGTATTTTGGAGAGAGTGTACAAGATTTCG